TCCACCTGTTGATGTTTGTCTCTTAGTTAGGTTATGTTTATATATATTCTTGGGCTGGGCTTTAAATATAATGTCAGTTCTAAAAGAAATGGGGAGCCTGTGTAGAGGCATTAAGACTCATGGAATATGTTCAGTTTTCTTGGTTCTTTTAAAAGGTCTACCTGTTGTATTTTGTGATTTAGTGCTTTCTGATACCTGTGTAATTATTATTAAAATAATCCAACCCAGTGGAAATTAAAGTATGAATGATTGTCTGACACTGAATCTAAGTACTGATCGTATCTTTACAAAATTCCTTAGGTGATAGTAGCAGGACTGGGAAATCTTGTTTATGTTTCTCACAACTGTGATTAGATTTGAACATCACACTCAGGTCTCAGACAGCAGATGTTACATGAATGGATAAAGAACCAAGGAGAGAACTTGATGCTTGGATGCAGCTTTTCTGAACCAATGATGACTTTTTATTTTTATTTCATCAGTTACAGAATTAGACAGTTGAAGAGGTTGGCTAAAACGTGGATTTTTCTCTGACCCAGTATGTCATCTCTTTTATAAGATTGCTGTTATGAGATGAATAGTACCTTTGGGACATTTTGGAGTTTGGAGCTCTTGAATCATATTTCCCTCCTGCATGCAGGTTGTAACTTGGGCCCTAGGAAAAACTGAGTTTCTTAATCCTGAGTTGAGGATACTCTGAGGTTTCTGTTACAGAAAGAATGCTAACGTAAACTCTGAATCTGTGTACCTATCATGCTTGCTGGCTGGTTTTCTTCTTCAATGAACTCCTAGTTTCTCTCGGACTCCTTCTGCTGCTCCTGAATCAACTGACAAGCATTTAGATTAATTTCCTCACTAATGAGGTCCCTATCAAATCATGCAGTGGAGTGATTTAATATGAAGTTTATGTTTTTCCAAACACCAGAATTCAAGGTCAGTCTTTGTTTTTTGTACTTAGCGGAGTCCTCAGTCATCAATGTGAGGACAGACACAGCGATTACACTGCCGATTATTTCCAGCTCAGAATAAAATCTGTACACTACATCTTTCACAATGACTCCGTGGAGGGTAATGCAGCTGTCACACCATCAGCCAACAATAACTGTTTAAATAAAGCTTTGCACACGTAAACACACAATCATTTATGAGGTTGTAGTCGGAAAAAATGTCTGACACTGTTAAGATCTTGAACTTTATGTGAATATTTGAATAAAGATGAGACAGAGATAACTTTGAGATGATAAAACGGAGCCAAATGTAGTTTAACGTGGGCTTTTAAAAGCAGGCTGCAGACAGTCTGACTGAATTTCATGTTGAAATAAATCCATATGTTGAAATATAGCCATTAAATTATGTTGAGCAATATTTTAAAAAGTATAATGTTTGAAAGTTCACATTCTGAATCTGTTGGGCTCTCAGACAACACTTCTGATGACGGGACAGGTAAAAAAATAAATAAATAAAGTTCAAATTCTGCACCATGACACATTTTCTAGAGAATTTAGGCTAAAGCAGTTACCTACCTTTTATATTCAGTTTCTGTTCCCTGCATTTTCTCAGTGTCACTTTAATCAGAATACTTTATTAATCCCGAAGGAAATTAGGGAAGATATCAAATGTAGATGTCGCAGTCGCATGCATCCCATCCTTATTGAATTAACTTCATCAGACACATCGTTACCATAGCCAGTATAAAAGATTTATATATTTTATACATGCATTTGATGGCCAATTAGACCAAGCTGGTTAAAATAACTCCCCCATCCCCTTTTCTCTATCATCATGGTGCGCACTGACACTCATCCTCTCCTGATGATGACTTTCATTTACTAATCACACATGATTATCTCAGAGAGAACATGTATCTGAGCTAACATTTATTCCCATTTATGAGCCAAGCGAAGAGGACCTTAATCCACTCAGAGTTTATTGAACTTGGCTCCTAAGCGGCGGTAAATAATAACCCGCTGAAAGGAGCAGATGACTATTTTTTGGCAAGGTGACAAATGAAACTAATATTTTAGAGGAAAAGTATAGTTTTGACAAGCTATTATAGCTGATAGCTGAAAAAAACAAATAAATAAAATATAAATTTGGATTCTAAAAAAAATATCTTTTAACAAATAAATGGATCAATTTCCTTGAGTTGAGCACAAAAGTAGTGTGGGTCATGGTGCAGTTAAGACAAGCATAAACAGGGTAATCTGTTAAGATATTATCAGATAAATTGAAATGGTATATTTTTAAAACATCTGTTCGTGTGTATTTTATCTATTTCTGTGTTGTTGCCTTTAGGAGAAAGCTCAAAGCTGACTTATCCGCGGCCTTTCCTTTGCTGTCTGCTGATGAACTGTCTGAACTGGTTCCCAATAAAGAGGAACTAAATGTTCTCAAGAGTTATGCACACAAGGGAGATGCTGTGACAGTTTATGTTCTTCATAAAAATCCAGTGTTCTTTGAAGTGGATAAAAAACTTTTTCCTACCGGTAATTAAACTGCAATGAACGCACTAATATGGGATACAATGGGATGACTGATCTGCTCTTAAGTAACTTTTTTTTTTTGTCACATTTATTAGTGTATGTTCTTTGGCGATACCCCGCTCTCCTCCCAGCCTTCAAGACATGGCCTCCTGTTCTTCAGAAATTGACTGGAGGGGCAGGTATGCTTTTTTTTTTTGAGGTGGGGGATCAGTGAATCGTGTGCAAATGTTTTGTGCAAAGTTATGAGAGAATATTGTGCTTTTCCAAAGATCTCATGCTCCCAGGTGTGGTGGTGCCTTCATGTGGTCTCCCAGATGTGAAACAGGGGGACAGCTGTGCTGTTACATTAGTGAACAACAGGTATGTTATATTAAACACTTTTGGAAGACCTTTCCTAAAAAATGTAAGTGTGACTGTGTCCTTCGGGTTGTTCCTAGAGCACCTGTTGCAGTTGGGACAGCTGCTGTGTCCACTGAACAGATGCACTGCTTGGGTATGAAAGGAAGAGGAGTCTGCATTCTTCACACGTACATGGATTATCTCTGGTGAGTCGCTTTCACCTTAAAGCATTGAATTGTTTTGAATTTAAGTTTAGTGGCATTATTGATTAGTGTCGTTTCACTCCATTAAATTGAAGGCTACAGTTGGCAGCTCCTTAGCTTAGCATGAAGACTCTAGCAGGTGGAGAATTTTTGGTGTGTTTTTTCTCAATAACTAGGGCAGTGAATGTTTGAAGTTGCGTGTCTCTCAGTGTTGGCCAAATTGGTGACCTGTGCTGGGTGTATCCTGGCTTGCACCTCTGACAGCTGGGTGTTGGTTCAAACCTGCTTCTCAGGCTTTCTCCAGGCATGTTCTCCCTCTGCCCATGTAGGCTACTTCCCACAGTTCACAGCTTGGTTATTTAGTTTATTGGTGATTCTAAATTTGCCATTGGTTTGACAGATGATGCAAAAAGTGATGCAAAAATGGAAAAAAAAAAGGTGATGAAAAAAAAAATGAAGCACTTACACAACAAGGACCACCTGTCTTCTTTTCCTTATGAGGATATTCCGAAAACAGTGAAGATGAAACTGATAACATTTGATCATTGTTTGTTAGTGATGCACGTTATGTTTTTGCACATCATGTCTGCCCGTCCCACTCTCCTAAACGCAGTGGCTTTGAAATGTATCAAGGCTTTTTCGGAAATGAACTCATGACATTTTGGCTATAAAAGGTCCTTTTGACCTCATGTCCATCCCATTCCTGTGACTATATCAGGAACGCTTGGTGAACTTCAGATTTGGCATGAATATTTATTTGGACTAAAACATCAACAAATTAGAGTTTGGTAAATTGGGAAAAAATTCCCGCAAATAAAATGACATTCTGAAATAATGACATTTCACATTTGATTAGATATTGCATTAGTGATGCTTTTATTTAGTGCCCATCTATTAGTTTAATTTAATCTTCATTACACACAGTGCACTCACGGGACACTTCATTAGGTACACCTTGCTAGTACTGATTTGAACCCCCTGTTTTGCCTTCAGAACTGCCTCAATTCTTTATAGCAAGGACTCAACCAGGTTGTGGAAACATTCCTCAGAGATTTTGGTCCATATTAATTTGTTGGCAGCACATCCATGATACAAATCTACTGTTCCAGCACATTCCAGAGGTGCTTTATTGGATTGAGATCTGGTGACTGGAGGCCAACTGAGTACAGTAAACTGTTCAAGAGCACAGTTTGAGATGATTTGAGCTTTTTGACATTTATTTTCCTGGCAGCAGACGTAAAAAGGTGGATACCCTGTGGTGATAAATAGACAGGCATGGTCACCATCAATAGCCAGATAAGCTGTGGCATTTCCATCACCAGCAGCCTGAACCAAGGCAAAAGTTATCCATGCTTTCATGTTGTTTATGCCAAACTCTGACCTTACATTTGAATGTTGCAGCAGAAATGGAGAGTCTCCAGACCAGGTGACACTTTTCCAGTGTCGTCCAATCTGGGCGAGCCCATGTGAATTCAGTTTCCTGTTCTTAGCTGACATGAGTCTCACTTTTTGTGGTCTCCTGCTGCTGTAGCACATCTGCTTCAAGGTTTGACGTGTTGTGCATTTAGAGATGCTCTTCTGCATTATAAGTGATTATTTGATTTGAAGTGTTCTCTTCATCAAAGGAGTCTGGCCTTTCTCCTCTGACCTCTGTAATAAAGAAGGCATTTTGTGTTACTGAATAGCTGAATAACTGTATGTATGTATAAAGTGGCTACTCATTAGAACTGTTTAAAATAAAAGTACTGATGCAGGTAAAAAGGACTGTATTTTGTTTGTGGTGAGTTTGTCTGATTTGAGTTTGAACAAGCATTCGTTTAAACTGCAAGTTGATTGGCTGGTGGAGGCAAAAAGTCAAAATGCTCTAATGCCAGTTTCATATCCTTTTCAGGGCTTTTGGAGATAAGTCAGGTCCTCCTTCTTTACCAGATGCAGAAAGTGAAGCACATGGGGAGAACGGTGAGGAATGTGAAATCAGTGACAAAGAGGAGGAGGAAGTTGATAAGTGTGTGGAGGAGCAGCACAGTCCAGAGGAAACGGTCACAGATCAAGCCCAGTCTTGTTTTGAGGAGCTGAGCTTAGTTGAACAGGATGAAGAGAAGGGCGAAAAGAACAATGAGGAGGAGGAAGAGACCCAGGATGAGCAGAAAACACCACAAGGTACCAGATGTACAACAAAAGTCGCCTTGAGGCTTGAGGTGACTTTTGAATAGATGTAATCAAATTCTCTCACATATTTTCCTTGATGTAACAGGATGATGGTAAGTGCAAGGATCAGAAGTGTTATTAATAAAAATGAAGTTATAGATTTACCATTAAATTACTTCCCACCAAAGTTGTTCTGAATCTGCTTTTAATAATACTTCGCCAAAACCTCATAAATACTTTAATCCCCGATTTAAATCTGATTGACGTAATGACTACTAAATGGTTGCAGGGCAGGCTCGATGACTTTGTTGGGGTTTTTTTGTGAACATGTGGTTTTGTTATGTTAATTCAGCTGTGGAATACATTTTTTTTTTTTTTTTTTTTTGCATGCTCAGAGAAAAGTATGTAATACAGGTCATGCCTTGTTTTCACAGAGGTAATGGACGCCATGCTGTTGC